GCTACCAATTCAACTGCACTCAACAACAATAATTAAATGCACATCTACATGTCACTGATTTTGGAATCTGGAGTTGGCTGCTTGATTATTTGGTAAATGAGCTCATTCCACATCCAGATGAGAAATCACAGTTAGTAGAAGGGTTAATAGATGGCTGCGCTCTATGGCACTTAACAACAACACAGCTAATCTAAACCTGTCTTGTTGAGTTATCTGCTCTATTGATGTAGTAATGTCTCCATATTGCTCATGCCATGTACTTCCTGTTGAGTTCAGTAGTTTTGTTCATCCTTTGCTCAAATGAAGGCAAGTAGATATTTGCAATAGCTTTGACTACAAAGCCCAAAAGAGTCTCCGTTTATGGTTAGCACTGAATGGTTCATAACAGGTACTTATGGAAAGGTCCCAGGTGATAGCATCTGTAGTTTATGTTGTTGTGAAGTGCCTTTGAGTCAGTTCTGAATCATAGAGACCCTGTATAGTGTTTCAAGGAACATGGCTAGTGGGTTTGAACTGCCAACCTTATAGCTGGTAGTGCTTGTCCTACCATGCCACACTAGGACTCCAATCGTATCTATTGTTGTTGTTGTTAAGTGCCATCAAGTCAGTTCTGACCCATAGCGGCCGTATATAAGGTTTCTGAGGAGTGAGTGGTAAGCTTGAACCACCGATATTGCAGTTCAAATGACTTTACAGTTTGGTGCATTAACCCACAGTACCACACCAGGTCTCCAATAGTATCTATCTATAGCTATTACTATATGATACTATGCTGGTTAAAAGGGGCTTTGCTAAGCTTTGGGCTTTTATGATATGTTGTAGAGAAACAGCTCTGACACTTTTGGGGAGATGAGGCTTTGTGGTATTTCTTCATGAACTGCACTGAGCTAGCTCAGTTAGGATGGGGTAAAATCTGTGCTTACAAGGATCTGGCACAGGGTAAGAGCTTGGAAATGAAATGTGTGAAGGTACGGCAATGACTCAACAGAAATAGATATGAAATCAGGAAATGATCCGTTTAAATTAAAGATAAAATCAGAGATGCCTGCAAACCACCTCGGATGTCAAGGAACATGACAAAATCATGGCAGGCCCTGGGAAGAACAGTGCTTTCCCATATAGCTCATCAGTATGACAATACAAATCAATCCCTGGTTTGTGTGCTCAGGGAGGAATGGCTAGTCAAGGCAGGCCTGACATACTTAGGTTCAATTTGCCTTGGTGGTTACAGTAGGTTGGGCAGCCTAAGGTAAGTGAACTCTTAAGACCTTTCCATAAAGACCTCTCTATAAAGTACAAAGGAGCTCTGGTAGCACAGTGGTAACGAATCGGGCTGCGAACCTTAAGGTCAGCAGTTCGAAACTACCAGCTGTTCCACAGGAGAAACATGAGGTTTTCTGCTCCTGTAAAGATTTATAGCCTCAGAAACCCTGTACAGGGTTGCTATGAGTAGGAACTGACTCCACAGCACATAACAACAACAACAACAACAATAAAGTACGACACATATGAATGTCAAAGCTGACTCAGACCTAAATATAATCCAATTACTTTACAATTGGTGCATGCAAGATACACTTAGGCCTCCTTTGTTGTTTGCTGTTGTTAAAGTACTGTCAAGTCAGTTCCCACACATAGTGACCCTGTATAGGGTTTCCAAGGAGCAGCTGGTAGGGTTCAACTGCTGACCTTGTGGTTCCAAGTCCAGTGTTGACCCTATAGCACAATACCCGGAGTCCAACAGTAATGCAAAAGAGTAGAGCATATTCAAATTCTGCCTAGTACAAGGACTATTTATACAACAGAATAATTTGGTGTCAAAACACACAAATATCTACTGGAAACTTAGTATTTTTTCTCTGCCATAAAATGCTGAAATGTTAAGTTTGGATATTACCTGAGAGTTTAAATTTGAATTATTTTCCAACAAATCCAAGGGGAAAGCTAATGAGACAGCTGTGTTTTTATCGTGCGTATTTGGAGATGATAATCCCTCACTCTCCCAGTTATTTCATCCTCGGCTCTTTCTAACTATGTATCCAATTACAGGGAAATGCATGTAGAGCATGAAAAACGCTCAGCAAAATAAAGATGATAACTTCGAACAGAGCAACATAATCAGCGTCTCCGTTTTTTGTTACAAATAGAATTTGTAACTTTCTCTTTTTCTCTATCAACTTTAAATCTATGTGACATAGGGAAAACTTCATAATGTTGAACTTTCTGGTTCATAGCCACAAAAAAAAGCTCTAATACAAACAGCGATTCTAACATTTGACTTTACAGAAAATTGGTTTGTCAGAGGAAGACGTATAGTATTTTGGGTAGTCTTACGAGACTTATCACCATGGAGACTGCTGTCCTTGTGAAGCGCTCTTGAGCTAGGTCTGACTCATAGAGACCCTGTATAGGGTTTCCGAGGAGTGCTTATCCTACAGTGGCACACCAATGTAAGAAAAAAGGTGATTGTCTCAAAGACTACCCAAAGTGCTCAACATCTTCATGTTTGCGTTTAATTTTGAGTGACAAGTTACTTAAGGAAAATACTAATGAAGGAACAAGTAAGAACAGGAACAAGCTGAAAGGCCTGCATGTATCTTGATTACATATAAAGAAATGTCAGGGTCGCTCTGAGTTGAAATTGACTTGACGGCACTTAACAACAACAATATAAAGGGAACTAAAACAGGTATTTTTATGCCTTTAGGGAGATCATTCTATTTCTATAAAGACCACAACATGGCTCAATGTAGGCTAGTCACAAACAGGTTTTTAAAGAGCCAGGAGTAGAATAGAAATTTAACCACTGACTAATTCAATTACCCATTCACAGAACCATGATGCCCACCCCCACCCCTCACCCCTATTACTGAGATCGGCTACCATCAGGTTACAAGGTGGTTACTGAGTGGGTATTTATTTGCACAAATCTATAGGTGCAGTGTGCAAGCTTTAAAATGACAAAAGCTATCTCAATGATTCAGAGACTTCTAAGGGCTGTCTCTCAGGAAGCAAAGGAAAGTACCTAAAGTTACATTCTTTCCATGAGATTAACTCAGCAACCTAGTTTATAGTTAACAAATGTTTTTGTTACAAATACACAAACACTGTGTTACACTGGGCCTCAGTTTCCTTAAAAAATACACACATACAAATACACAAGGGAGCTTCAAAAACGTCATGAAAAAATGCCATTATCCTTTAATCCCATTTCTCCATGAACTGTTTTAAGTGCCCTCATATATACATACGTATAGAATGAGGCGGGCACAGGACTGGACAGTGTTTTGTTCTGTTTTACCTACGGTGCCTGTGTGTCAGAACCGACTGTAGGACTAACAACATCTATCTATCTATCTATCTATCTATCTATCTATCTATCTATCTATCTATCTATCTATCTACCTACCTACTTACCTACCTATCTACCTACCTACCTACCAACACTATCTATCGAACTGATACAATACTATATTCTAGTTTAGTCTCTCTCTTTCTCTTTCTCTCTCTGTTTCTCTATTTATGCATCCTTCCATGGGTTGGTTTGCACAGGGGAGATGCACTGCACAAAATGCCATTCAGTTGTGGGAACTAAAGGTTTCAGTATGATAACTTTTCTTGACTGGACAGCATTTGATGACTGACGTTACTCTTCTAACTTAGCTTTCTGGTTGACTGAAACCATCTTTAAGTTTCTATGCTATTTACATTACATCTAACTTGCAAAGCACCTGCCAGTTATTTTGTATAATAATAAACTAATATAATGGCTTTAATGGCTTACTAAACACATACAAATGAGTGGCAATAGTTCATTCACACAGATACACAGACTGAGGGCATCACGTTCGTTCCTCATTCTCCATACCTGTGTACTCAGGTGGGCACATGCACGTGTAGTTGTTAATTCCATCGACACATGTAGAATTATTTTCACAGTCATTATCTTCACAGTCATCAATATTGACCTCACAATTTTCTCCTTCAAATCCATCAGCACAAATACACCTGCAAGTCAGGGAAAGAAAGGCAAACACATTGTTTTGTTGCATTTGTATTTTTATAAATAAGTTTTTATTGTGAATTGAGTGTGATAGTTTACATGGGAGAACATTGGTTTCACACTCATCATTTCATTGCAATGATTGCAATCTCCTCTATGCATCATCATTCAACAGGATTTGCTTCTATTCCCTCTGTTTTTTTTTTTGAGGGGGGAGGGTGGGGGGAGAATATACAATCATTTATACTACCAAAGGGCACATTCTACAAGCCTGCCTCCTGGCTGCCAGCACACATATTTTGCTGTATTTTTGAAACACGAAGTTTAAACATTAAAAAAAAAAAAAAAAAGGAAGAAGTGGGCTCATCAATTATAGTGTTTTCAGTCATTTAAAAATACATTTAAATGACATGCAAGCATTTAAGGTACTATCCCCAGACCAGAAGCTATTTGAAGAAATAATAAATACATTTTTGGCTGCAAGATGGCAAATGGCTTAATGGTCTCATAATCCACTAAATACAATATATTTCCAGGTCCAAACACAAGCAAACTTTACTCTATAGTTCTAGATATCTTACTCTCTAGTCGAAGTCTCGTAAACTCATTCATGCTTCTTTGGTCATTAGTTATGAGGAACTGGTTCTGATGGAAAAAGTGAACCCTCTCCTACCTATGTGTTTACATCCTAGACATAGCTAGAAACAATAACAAAAAAGAAACTGAAAAATAAGATTTTGTTGTCTTTGCAATTAGAAAACAGGAATGTTATAAAATGCCACCCTAAAACAGGAATGAATGTTAAGTCTCAATAGATACAGTCTCCCCAGGCATAAAATACTGCACATTTACTCTGGAATACATATCAGAATCCTCTTTGGTTAAAGTCTAGATAAAAAAGCGATAATTTCATAATGGGATGCAGACAAAATATTTTTCTTCTAAAAAGTGACATTTCTAACAAGCTTTAGTAGCAGATTAACATTCTTAGGTGAAATCATTAGTGTGATTTAATAAAGAACTCTTTCATAATTCATGACACACATCTGGAGTAAATTGTATTGCACGATTAAATAATTTCACGTTAAAACCGTTGATAGCATGTTGGTCTAGTCATAATGTGGCTCAGAGAGGAATCATTAATTTTCTATTTCAGTGGGACTTACACGTTATCATTTGCATGTTATCTGTTAAAGCAATCTATAAAGCAACAGATGAATATATATCTCTTTGCAGTAGGGGACTAGTTGGTTTTTAGTAAGCATAATGGAGTCAATATTTTGTCTTGCCCTTATCTGACTTAGATTAATCAAAATGTGTTTTAATTCTTTACTTTTGCAACATCCGGAGCTGAGAATACTATATAGTGTGCTCCACTTGCTTTGGTTTTAATTTTTCATACTGCAGTATTCCCAAGATGAACTACTACATGAGTATATTGTCTTTATCAATCTTATAAGGGTCTTTGAAAAACAATGTCCTTTGATTTGAAAAAGAAAACAACTACTTAGTTATTCTTAGTCCAATCCTTCAGAAAGGGAAGCTCAAGACTAATGAGAGGCACCTACCAGAATCCATCTTTTTCTCCTTCTTTTAAGTGACAAGTCCCCCCATGTTTACAAGGGTTACTGATGCACCCATGGATTGGAACATCACAATCCTGCCCCTGAAAAAGGGAGAGGCAAGTTAAATTGAGTATAAGTAAAGTCTTTTCCAGCACATAAAAATTGGTGAAAGCACAAAAGAATCAGGAAAACACACACAGAGAAAAGGTACACGTTTTCAGATGGTGGCTCCCACAATGGCTTCTACTTACCTTGAAACCGTAGGGGCAGGTGCATCGATAGAAATCAACTGGGTCGCTGTTGCAAGTCCCATCATTTTTACATGGATTTGATAAACAGGGATTGCATTTTGCAAGTATATTAACATCCACAGGACCTAAAATTAAAAGTAAGTTGTAATATATTAGAAACCCATGCTTTCTTTATAGTATTCCTATGCCTCAGTATGATGGGAAATGTTATACGAAATGATTAGCCACATGTCTACATGTGTTTCTCTTCTGTGGCAAAACCAGATTATCAGCACCATCATTATAGATTCTAGAATTTAATAAGAAGTCTGTGAGTCTATCTAACATCACAGACAGACTCAGGTTGCTAGTGTAGCTTGGTGGAATCTGATGTTAATGGTACCAGGGTCACAGGTTCAATCCCCTAATAGTCAATGAGCATACGTGGTTGTGTTCCATGACCATGCTGTACCTCAGCCTCACCAGTCTCCATGGAAATACATGCCATTGGTCCCACAAAAGACTGTGTGTGTGTGTACATGTGTGTGTGTGTTCATGCTTGTGTTGGAGGGTTAGGATTATGTAGAAATTTAGTGTTGTCCTGATGACATTAACCTGGGGATACAAGAATGTACTATAAACCAAAAACGTAATCTCCATTACACTCTTTTGCATATCCTTTGGATCAACTTTACTTTTTAACCCAGTAATGATTGGTGAAGTTCTGTATCTTTCACTCTGAACAGACAACATTACAACAATCCTATTTGCAGTCTCATCTTTTGGGACATTTAAAAAAAAAATCTCATGACCCACAAAAGGCCCAGATTAAATGCAAATTAAGCTGTAGCCATTTTCTTTGGGTTGCCCAAATGTATTTCTTAAATGATTTGTTGTTATGTGCAGTGGAGTCAGTTCTGAGAGGCTGTATATCTTTATAGGAGCAGAAAGCCTCATCTTTCTCCCACTGAACAGCTGGTAGTTTCGAACTGCTGACCTGGAGGTTAGCAGCCTGATTCGCAACCACTACGCTACCAGAGCTTCTCTTAAATGGCTAGCAGAGTTGTTGTTGTTAAGTGCCATCAAGTCGATTCTGATCCATAGCGAGCCTGTATAGGGTTTCCAAGGAGAAGCTGGTGAGCTTGAACCACCGACCATGCAGTTCAAACAACTTTGCAGTCTGACGCATTGGTCCACAGTGCCATGCTAGGGCAGAAACTACTATAAATTACATTTCCCTACTGCTAATTTTTGCCATGTTTGTGAGTTGTCAATAGACTTCCTTGTGGAAACTGTCTGATAAGGGCAATGGCAGAGTGGCATCTTTTATATGTAAAACACCAATATTTCATAATGCAAACATGAATGATGTTTCTGCTAAGCGACCTCTGTGCATTCTTCTCATGGGGACAAGCAGCAAGAATTCCAATGACATGTTTCATCATACATCATTCCAGCAAAGTTATCCAAGACAATCTTAGGGCATGGAGTTCTCCCTTTCAACATTGCTTTCACTTCTAAGGTACCTTCAACCAAACATTGTAGAACTTATGTTCACACAAGCAAACTTGGATCTATTTTTCCTAGAGACTAGAACCTGTGTCTGTAAATTGTCAGTCTACCCACAAAAATTCATGCATTTAGGACACTGGAGAAATAAATGCTGGTAGTTAATTAAGACAGTTATTAAATTCATTTGCTGTTGAATATATTCTGATTCATAGTGCTTCACAAAACTGCCCCACAGATTGTCCTAGGCTGCCATCTTCAGAGGCACAGATGGCCACAGCTTTCTCTTTAGGAGTGGCTGCTGGATTCATACCACTGACCTTCCCGTTGGCAATTAGGCACTTAACCACAGTGCCATCAGGCACCTTAATACAGTTAGTAGGTAAATGAATTTTGTTGTCGTTATTATGAAGTGCTGTCCAGTCGGTTCTGACTCACAGCGACCCTGTATAGGGTGTTGTTGTTGTTAGGTGACGTCGAGTCAGTGCCAACCCATAGCAACCTTATGCACAGCAGAACGAAACACTGCCTGATCCTGGGCCAACCTCACTACTGTTGTCACGCTTGAGCCCATTGATGCTGCCACTTTGTCAATCCATCTCACTGGGGGGCTTCCTCTTTTTCTCTAGTCCTCCACCTTACCAAACATGATCTCCTTCTTCAGAGACTGGTCCCTCCTGACAATATGTCTGAAGTATGAGAGATGAAGTTTGGTCATTCTGGTCTCCAGGGAGCACTCTGGCTGCACTTCTTCCAACACAGATCTGTTGGTTCTTTTGGCAGCCCATAGCACTTTCAATATTCTCCTCCAACACCATAACTCAAAGGCATCAATTATTCTGTGGTCTTCCTTATTCACTGTCCAGGTTTCACAATGTATACGAGGTTATTGAAAATACCATGGCTTTGGTAAGGTGCACTTTAGTCCTCAAGCTAACATCTTTGCTATTCTACACTTCAAAAAGGTCCTGTGCAGCAGATTTGCCTAATGCAATACTAGAATACCTTACCATAAAAGGCAGTAGTGTGTGCTATCACATAGGAAGCAATAGAAAACGAAATATCTAATTATTAATGGATCCCTTAGCTACATTAGAAGAAAGATAAATCAAACCCAGGGAAAAGATACGTAGGAGGAAGCACTCAGATGGAACACCAGGAAAACAGGACGATGGCAAGGGCTATAAACATTCATCTGGCCACTTTCCAAGACTTTGAGAAAATTATATTTTGCCTACTTTTTTCCTTTCAACTGTGTAAGGTGGCAGTTTGAACAATAAGAGTTCAAAGTCGGAAGTCTCTAAGTTTGATTACTCAGAAGGAAAATTAGAGATGGTCTTAGGATCAACATTAGACATCTTTTGAAGAATTTGATGAAGCACAGTTAGAGGAAACTCTCAGGCTGAGGTGGCCCTGACACATCAACACACTGCTGTTGTTGTTGTTGTTGTTGCTAGGCGCCGATGACTAGGTTCTGACTGAGAGCCAACCTGTATAGGATTTACATGGAGTGGCTAGTGCGTTTGAACCGCCAACCTTGATATTAGCAGTCCTGTGCTTCACCACATAAATGTTCACTGCCATCAAGTTGCTTCTGAGTAATAATGACCTTATAAAGGATTTCTGGGAGTCCTAGTATGGTGCTTTAGGAGATGTACTGGACTGCTAATAGCAAAGTTGCTCCCTGGGAACCCTGTATAGAGTCATTATGAGTCAGAACTGACTAGAAGGCACTTAATAACAACAACAATGTATGGTTTCTGAGACTATCAGTCTTAATGGGAGTAGAGTTCATCTTTCTCCCATGCATAGGCTGTTGGGTTTGAACCACTGACCTTTCAGTGAGCAGCCTAATTCCTAACCCACAGTGTCACCAACACTCCTTTTCTTTACAGCATTGTCAATAGTTACTTGATAAATGTCCAGCCAACTGTATCTGATTCATAAATACTATTTATTAAATTGCTCCATTTTTTTCCAGGACCAAATATGGTTTTATATGTAAATCAATAATCCCTAATTGATACAAATGGTTAAATGAGTAACTGCAGCTGAAATGTGGATGATTCAAACCCACCCCGAAGAGCATCAGAAGACAGGCTTAGCCAGGGATGTGTTACCTAATATCCCAAGTACCAATGGGCTTACTTGTGTTACTAATTCATCTACAGGGGGACAATTTCACATTTTTTATACCATATCAGAGACTCTGCTTCTAAGCACTAGTGGTCTCAGTCTTGCTCCCAGTCCTTCAGCACCTTCCCTCAGAATCAAAGCCTCTCTTTGAATTCATAATCTCTGACAGGGACAGTGTATCCAGAAAGCAGATAATCATGGGCTTACTTATTAGTCTGTAGTGAACAGATTCATATGTTAATCTGGTGAAGCCCATGTGAAACTGCTTGCAACAGATTAGTAAGTAAGCACAACTAAGACTATGCTTACCTTGCTTACTGGCTAACCCATTCCTGGGTTGTGCGATCACCTTCCCAAAGTTCACAGCCTTGAAAATGCTATGGAGTTCTATTATTCTGCAATGGAGGTGGGATCGACTTAACAGTACAGGTGTCAATAATTAAGCTAGATTATTTTCAGTATCTGGAATTCCTGGTGTGGTCCTGTAGGATAAGCACTGGACTGGTAACCACAAGGTCAGCGGTTCAAACTTACTAGCAGCTCCTCGGAAACCTACACAGGGTCGTTATGAGTCAAAATCAGCTTGATGGCACTTAACAACAACCTATAAAGGGTGACTGTTGGACCCTTGGGTTTTATTTGGTTTTGCTAAAGTAATCAAAATAGTACATCTTCCTGTTTGCACAAGCCCCTTCTAAGAGTTTCTTAAAGCCAATGAAGCATGTTGATGTCATCAGAATTAGAAACACAGCAGTATGTTATGTTCTAACATATTCAGATTGGAGACCTGGTGTGGCACTGTGGGATAACCACAAGGTTGGTGGTTCAAATCCACAAGTCACTCTTCACAAACCCTAAATAGAGTCTCTATGAGTCAGGACCGACCTGACTGCATTTAACATAAACAAAGTTGACTACATTGGTATTACCTACAATTTTATTTCCCTCTCTATTATCATGCCTCTTTAGAAATCAGTACTTTTATGGATAATTCTTATTTCCTCTACTTGAGTTTGAGTGTTGGGATAAGCCCGAAGATGTTTATATGTTATACAACTTCCAAATATCAGCAATATCTGCTCATTTCTCTAGTTTATTATGATGATATAATTACTCTGTAAAATGTATCTATATTATACTTCCATTTAAAGAAAAATCCTCCTGGTCTTTCTAGTTTATCTAATCTGCTTTTTTTCTATGTTCTAATACCTTTGAGAGGAGCTCTGGTAACAAAGTGGTTATTAAATTGTGGTTGGTAGTTAATGGAAAGGTTGGTGGTTTGAACCCATCAGCTGTTCTGTGGGGGGAAATGCAGCAGTCTATACTCCCCAACAGATCCATTTTAGAAGAAGTGCAGCCAGAGTGCTCCTTGGAGGCAAAGATGGCCAAACTTCATCTCTCATACTTCAGACATACTGTTACGAGGGACTAGTTGCTGGAGAAGCAGCATCGATGGACTCAAGCGTGGCAACAGTAATGAGGCTGGCCCAGGATCGGGCAG